TTAAGATTCAATATTTTTTTTCCTCCTATTAATTTTATGACTAGAAGTATTTATAAATTATTTATGGCGAATGAGTCGCACATTCAATGCAATTCGTCTGCATGGCACATATGGAATAGTTTGTTGTGCAAATTTTGTACTCATCCTTTTTCCTGTCTTGTTTTCCTTTAGGACAAAAAACATGCGATATTTATTTGCATTTAATATATTAACAAACATTTATACACAGTATATTAAGTATATATTTATAATTTTAAATAAATTTATGCACTATAAATAATTTTTTAAAACTACGAAATAAATAATAATTTTTATATTATTAATTAATCATTTTACATTTTAGATTAAAAAATTGAGAGTGAAAAAATATCGTAAATTGATAGAGTTTTATAAATAAAATATTAATAAACCAACTAATTTCTATTATTTACTTATAAGATAGTGAAATAAAATTATGATATTAATTTTTTAGCTAAAAAAGGAAAAAAAAAAAGGTATTATATAAGATGGATGATTAACCGACCCCAAATAGTGTCACAACAATTTAAATAAAAATATAATTAGACTACAAAAGCTTGAGCAAGTATAAACTCTTAAGAATATGGTACACACAATTAGTAAGACTATTAATACACCTGTTTGCTTCCCAAATAATACGAGAAATGTGGACATCTCAATTGTAAAAAAGCAGTTGAATAATCTAGTTTTTTATTTGAGAAAGAGCATAATTTGCACGATGTAAGACGTGAGTCTTATTCAACAGCTAATTGAAGTTCTTGAGGATTTAAAACTAGGATTTGAGATCTCATTAGAAGGTTGTTCGAGGCTTCAACATATATGACATTGACTCAACTTTATAACTTGTGATTCACACCTAAGATGTTTCTTTAGGAGGCTTCTTTACACATCAAGGAATATCATGCACATAAAAAGTTATGGTACACAAAAATATATGAAAAATCTGATAATTTATGTTATATTATGTATTTTTCAATCGATTGAATTTATTAAAATATTTCTTTAAAAAATATGGATGAAAGACTACTATTCATAATTTATAAATACAATGAAACACTCATTTTTGAATAAGAACTACTTTAAAATTATGAGATATTTATTTAATAAATTTATCTAATTAGACATACCACACAAAATTTTTTGTTACAGAGAATGCCAACTTAGTTGGCGACTTTGCCATTATAGGGGAAGAACATATTTTTTCGTAAGGATAAAGCAATGACAGGTCTTTATAAGAGGACACGAACTCAAAGAGGGCTAAAGGGGTTTAGTGTTTGAGGGAATAGGAAAGTAGAAAAAAAAAAAAGTGAGAAAATTTTGAGAGAGAACGGAAAGGGAAATGATTTAAGCAACTTTTGGAAGTAAGTATTCCACTTAAATAAAACTGTAGTAATCAATTTAAATGAGATAAGATTAGATCCTTATGGCAAATTTAAAATGTAAACATTTACGAAATGTTATAAAATTTGTCTGAGAGTAAAGATTGGCGACTGAATTTGTCATTTTGTTGGGGTGCTGTAAGTTTTTGGCAGCACTAGGGCATGTGTGGGTGTCAGCAGTCAACATGTATGACCAACTCAGCTGCCAACAATAAAAAAATCATGTACCCACGTAACATATAATATACTTAATATATTTAATAATAAATACTAACATATATTGAATTTTCGGCAAGAAAAAATAACGTATTCAATTTATTTATATGAAAATTTCACAACAAATAGAGCCGACCTTATGATTGATATTTGGTGAGATTTCTTTTCCCAAAGGTTTTCTACTTGCCGTGTAACTTTATATTATTGTTATTTATTATTATGGACTCATCCTTATTAAATTATAGCAAATATATATATATATATATGGGAGAAGATTCAGATATATATATATATATAGTTCTCTGCAATTCCAATAAATATGTGAATTTAATTAGGTAAATATATAAATATAGGGGACAACTCAAAGATCTTGAAGTTTCAACTGGATTAAATTCTCTTACAAATATTTTTTTTAAGAGGTTCTTATTCTTTAATAACACTGATATAAATTGATAATTATTTTTAACCAAACCAAAATTAAAAATAAAATTAACCAAAATTTGCACAAGTTAATTCAATTAGTACTACCTGATGATATAAAAAAAAAAAAAAAAGGATCCAAATCTATTGGTTTAACATATAAGAAAAAAAATAATAATATAAAAGGAGAACTTCTCCCCAAGAAGATCAATCAGAAAGAAATCAGTTTTCAGTAGGGGGGAAATTATTAATGGCTGCTTTTGACCATACGCAGCTTTTACATTTAGTGAAAGTAATTTATTCTATAACATATATATAAGTAATTAATTACTACTTCTTTCAAAACGAATTAATTAACTGCTCTCTCAATTAATATAGAATAGTTAATTTTTTTCGGTTATAATATCAGCTTCGTTCAGATTGTTTCTTTGTTGATAAGAAATTCAAAGGGGAGCTTGAAACGGTAACTATACATGTCAATAATGCACTATTATAAATATATATATAAATATAAATATTATATAACAACAACTTTCCATACATAGCAGATCAAAGGCTCCTCACCAACCACTGGACACACCTCATCTATCCCAGCCAGTCAGCCACCAGCATGCCACTATCACTAGTCAAAATTTACCTTCCCTCCAATGATCCATAATCGGTCCACGCTCCACCATCTCCACCCTTCATTACCCGCCCAGCCAACGGCTGTGATCAACTCTCAACCAACCCCCTTCCACCCTTATACTTACCTACCCATTTCCTTCCTTCCTTCTCCTCACCTATTTAAGCCCCCTCCCTTCTCTCTCAGCTTCTCAGGAGATCCAATACCCATCCCCTCCAGATTTCCTCTCTAAACACACCTCAATAGCTTATCTTATTTCTTGTTCATCTGGGTCTTTTGCTCTCTTCTCTCAACGAAAGCCTCTCTTTGTTCCTTTTCTCTCTATCTTTATCATATCAATATGGAGAAGATAGCCCAGAACGGTTCCTTGGAGAGTTTTTGCGTCAAGAGTGAAAAAAATGCGGCTGCTCATGATCCTTTGAACTGGGGAATGGCGGCCGACTCGCTTAAAGGAAGCCACTTGGATGAAGTGAAGCGAATGGTGTCAGAGTTCAGGAAGCCAGTGGTCAACCTCGGCGGTGAGACCTTGACGATATCGCAGGTGGCCGCAATTGCAACCCATGATCGTGGCGTAAAGGTGGAGCTGTCTGAGTCGGCGAGGGCTGGCGTTAAGGCTAGCAGCGACTGGGTCATGGACAGCATGACCAAAGGGACTGACAGCTACGGTGTAACCACCGGCTTCGGTGCCACCTCCCATCGAAGAACCAAACAAGGTGCCGCTTTGCAGAGAGAGCTCATCAGGTGAGTCAAACACACCAGTCAGACCTATTTACTCCACTCCATAAATTTTTATCCGTTACCAATTCCACAACTGTTATTTCTATTACTTTTTTACCTAGTTTAGCTGACAACTAGGATTATTACCTGGACTTGGGTGGTGGGTTAGGAGTCATGATTAATTAGTGACAGAAGTAACGGTTCACAGTCCCCGGAACTGGTTTTGGGAGGGGGACTCGCCTAGGGAGCTGGAGGCGGGATGCATGACTTGTCATAAGCGGATGCCACTCTCTCGGAAGTTCATTTATTGTGCACAGCAAATTTTAGAACAAGAAATTTACTTAACCGTCCCAAAATGTTGACCCTTAAGTTGCCTGGGGGAATTATCATATATCACCTATAAAAACTATTGCGGAAGGATATGTCGTAACCTTGGGATGTATCGTCATGGTCTCTGCTGCAGTCTTACAGTTGTAGTAGGTTTCATGTGGGTCATCACATGGGATTTCATGTTCGGACATAAGAATTTTTAATATTATAATTATTAATTTAGCGTCAGTTAGCTATAATTAATGAAGGCTATAAATATAATGAACAGAGCAGGCCAGATGATAACATAATATCATCAGCTTAGATTTGTAACTAAACTCTTGTAATTATCCTGGACATTGGATCTCTGTGTAGATTATTTGTTTTTAGATGAATTACTATTGAAAACAGATGAGAAACTTATTTTTTGGTTGGGTTACAGGTTCTTGAACGCTGGAATATTTGGAAATGGAACAGAGTCATGCCACACACTGCCTCACTCTGCAACAAGAGCAGCCATGCTTGTCAGGATCAACACCCTCCTCCAAGGGTACTCCGGCATCAGATTCGATATTCTTGAGGCAATCACCAAGCTTCTCAACCACAACATCACTCCTTGCTTGCCACTCCGCGGCACAATCACCGCATCCGGCGACCTCGTTCCCCTGTCCTACATCGCCGGACTGCTCACTGGCCGGCCTAATTCTAAAGCAATCGGTCCTAACGGTGAATCACTCAACGCCGAGGAAGCCTTCAGCTTGGCGGGAATAGAATCCGGGTTCTTCGAGTTGCAGCCTAAAGAAGGGCTTGCTCTTGTCAATGGCACGGCTGTCGGCTCTGGCTTGGCCTCCATGGTTCTGTTCGAGGCTAACATTCTTGCCGTGTTGTCGGAAGTTTTATCCGCAATTTTCGCCGAAGTCATGAACGGTAAACCAGAATTCACGGACTATTTGACACACAAGTTGAAGCACCATCCCGGTCAAATCGAGGCTGCAGCAATAATGGAACACATTCTTGATGGGAGCTCTTATGTTAAGGCTGCTAAGAAATTGCACGAGATGGATCCTCTGCAGAAACCAAAGCAAGATCGCTACGCTCTACGGACTTCTCCACAATGGCTAGGCCCACTGATTGAAGTGATTCGACACTCCACCAAGTCAATTGAGAGGGAGATCAACTCTGTCAACGATAACCCTCTGATCGACGTTTCCAGGAACAAAGCCTTACACGGCGGCAACTTCCAGGGAACCCCAATTGGTGTCTCCATGGACAACACCCGATTGGCCATTGCTTCTATCGGGAAGCTCATGTTTGCTCAATTCTCGGAGCTTGTCAATGATTTCTACAACAACGGCTTGCCGTCAAATCTCTCTGCTGGCAGCAACCCAAGCTTGGATTATGGATTCAAGGGCGCCGAAATTGCAATGGCTTCTTACTGCTCCGAGCTCCAGTATCTTGCAAATCCTGTCACCAGTCACGTGCAGAGCGCGGAGCAGCACAACCAAGACGTGAACTCGTTGGGCTTGATCTCTTCGAGGAAAACAGCTGAAGCCGTTGATATCTTGAAACTCATGTCCTCCACGTATCTAGTGGCACTTTGCCAAGCAATTGACCTGAGGCATTTGGAAGAGAACCTGAGACAAACCGTGAAGAACACAGTGAACCAGGTGGCTAAAAAGGTGCTAACAACAGGGGTTAATGGAGAACTCCACCCTTCAAGGTTCAGCGAGAAAGATTTACTCAAAGTTGTCGATCGCGAATTTGTCTTTGCCTACATTGATGATCCCTGCAGTGCTACCTACCCGTTGATGCAAAAGCTCCGGCAAGTCCTGGTCGAACACGCGCTGACCAACGGCGAAAGCGAGAAAAATGCTACGACTTCAATCTTCCAGAAGATTGCGGTGTTCGAGGAAGAGCTAAAGACCGTTTTGCCGAAAGAAGTGGAGAGTGCAAGGTTGAATGTGGAGAGCGGGAAGGCAGCGATTCCTAACAGAATCAAAGAATGCAGGTCTTATCCATTGTACAGGTTTGTGAGGGAGGAGCTTGGTACAGGGCTGTTAACAGGGGAGAAGGTGAGGTCTCCCGGGGAGGAGTTTGATAAGGTGTTTACTGCAATGTGCCAAGGAAAGATCATGGATCCAATGCTGGAGAGTCTCAAAGAATGGGATGGAGCTCCTCTTCCAATCTCTTAATATTATGTTTTTCTTTTATTTAAAATTTGTGTTATAGCTGGTGTGTTGTTGTTAATGTCTGATAAAATGCTGAATTGCCGTTGTAAGTGAAGTAAACGATGTGAATCAAATGAAATCAATCATCATGTTTCTAAAGTCTTCATGGATTGCATTTTTGTGTCTTTCATTTTAATTAAGAAAAAGGAAATGAGAAGAAGGAAAATGCAAATGTTTTAAGACTTGGGTAAATGAGACCAAACATCATCACAGTTGTTAAAATACATGGGAGTAGCTTTGCTAACCAACAGTAGTAAGAGGTTCAGTGAATCTACTTCAATAATCTCTCTTATGAGTCCTCACGCTAGCCTACAGTGTTACCTGCGGAAACCATTTTTATGCCTTTTAAGTGCGGAATTGTTTTTTTTTTTTTTTTTTGTCCGAAGATAAGGATCCTGTGATTCAAGAAAGAGCATTTGCTAAAATTTGGCGCTTGTGGTCAAATTAGGTGGAATGGGAAGAGGGGTATAGAGTGATAATTGGTAGGTCGAAAAGACTCCAAATTGGGTTGGCAGCGCAATAATGTTAGTGACCCTTTTGAACCAAGTGGGAAGAAGGAACCAAGAAATGAAGAAAACCATGTGTCTCAAAAAGTTTCTGCATGCATCCTACTTCTTAATTCATATTCATATATATATATATATATAAATATTTTGGAATTGTAAGTATAAGAAAAATGATGAAAATATAATTATTAAGAAAAATACCCAAATATTCCCATAATCTCAATATAATCTGCCCAAAATGGAACCTTGCCTTGTTCAATTTTAGCATAGTTGTTGCAACTTTCCTTGTTATCATTATTATTATTATTATTGTTAATTATTAGTTTATTTATATTTTAAATTATTTTTATTACTTATTATATAACAAGTACATGAATTTATGTTTTTATTGGGAATGTTAAAATATTAATCATTTAATTAAAAAATAATTCAAAATTTAGGTAAAAAAAAAAAATGTGTGGCTACTGTAAGATAGTTTAGCATTTGATTGCTTTTAACTAAAATAACATTTTCAGGCTACACTTCGCACATGATATAATTGTAAAATATGAATAATAATAATATAAAGATATTTTATTCAAATATACCGACCAAAACGCATAATTTAATTTCCACTCGCATACTAAATTATTGATTATAATCGCTTACTCTACTTCATCCTCATTCTTTTCAGCAACCTAAAGGTGTGTGTGTATATATATATATGTATATATTAATTTTTTTCACGGAAACTGGCAGTACGAGGAGTTTTCAAAGTATAAAAAGAAAGCTGACTTGCGTGAAATTGAATTTTGAGAAATGACCAAGCCCAAACTCTTCTACACTCAGGTGACAGGAGACTGCGTGAGACTTCTTCCACCTCTCCCGCTGCTAACATACCTCTGAATTTTTTTTTTAGAACACTAATGTCGTTTCTGTAGAAATTTTATGCATACGATTTAGTATACCGGGCCGGGTATGGGACACACATATATAAAGGGGAGGGTAACGGGTTGCAGTGTTTCCCTATTTAGTCGTGGGACAGTTTTTTCTTTTATTAATAATCTCTTTGCATCTTTTTATTCCCCAAACCAAAGTGAGTGCCTTCGCAACCTCCTGCCTTGGTTGGTTTATGGTTTTGTTTGGACTTGTCATAATCTTTCCGCGTCCTATCGGAAGTCCTAACTCGTAAACATGACAACTCGACTCCTGAGACGACTGCTCGGAAGAGGATCAGATCAGATCTTCGGCTCCGCAAAACCTAACGCTTCTTCATTAGTGGCCGCTGCGGCTCGTGCTTTCTCATCTGATACCACTCCGATTACGGCCACCCTCTTTCCCGGCGACGGAATCGGCCCCGAGATTGCAAATTCAGTCAAAGAGGTTCCTTCTATCTCTCTGGACCTATATCCAATTATGTTTTCTCTCTTACTTTTACTCGATTTGATTTATTTGTTTGAAGAATACACTATTCTAGTTTTGTTCCCTTACAAAGTTTGATTAACTTTCCTTTTGATACTACTAGCGATTCCTCTTTCAATGGAAAAAGTAAAATCTATTTGTGTTGTTTCTTTATTTGTTGATTTGGGGTTTGATTTGTTGATGCATGGGAGGTAAGATACAGCTGAAGCTTTTTTTTTTTTTATATACATATATTTCAAAACAAATAGCTGAAGCTTTTTCGATCGAATGTCAGTAGGATGAAAACTAATGCACGAAATGATCTTCCTTTGTGTATGTAACGCTAGTTTCCCCCCCCCCCCCCCCCCCCCCTAAATGTAGGAAATCATTCCATGTGTTCTTTTGAGGTTACCATTCTCCCGGACCCAGCGTATCGAAACAAATGAAATATTTTTCATTTATTTATAAGTGAATGCATACATCATGATAGGAACATGTAAATTCAATCCTAAAATAATTTAAGTGGAACTGAAGCAATATATTTTAAACTCTATTAATCTATATTTCCAAATGAATTCCACACAACTAGTTCATTTGTTTCAAACATATCCTTAAAGTTGGATTGGAGAAAATGTATCTACTGCTCAACTGCGAAGTTTGATTTAATTGGCTCTTCATGTTTTGCTACCATTCAAGAACAATGGTTTTTGAATAAAATAATATATTATGTATTTGACATGAAACTGAATCAGCTTTCATAAATCAAAAACAATGAGATTTTGGGGGGTCATTCTTGTAATTAGTTCTGTTTGTACTTTAGGTTTGGAAGGCAAATTCTCATGGTCATGAAATACATTCAGCTTATGGCTGAATTTGGCATTATGGGGATGAGCTGTTTGTTTGTGTGTGGTCGGAATTTCTTGCTCAATATGTTTGGGCTACTTAATCTTGAAAATCTTCAACCAACATCTATTCTTTGTATTGGGTGCATATGTAAAGTTTATAAGTTTTTTGCTTTGAAAGTTGAGCTTTTTGTTCTCTTTACCTGTCAGCTTGCTTCTAAGCAGGTTAATTAGCTTTCCAATGTTTTTTTTTTTTGCATTCTGTGTTGGACATTTATCTTTATCTTAGATGAATTTTAGAGTAAATAATTTAGTTCATACCTGCTGATGTGTTTCCGGTATGCTTGTCAAAGAGGGAAAAAATTATGATATTTATGTTGCAGGTGTTTAAAGCTGCTGAAGTACCCATTGAATGGGAAGAACATTATGTTGGGACTGAAATTGATCCTAGAACCCAAAGTTTTCTAACATGGGAAAGTTTAGAATCAGTTCGACGAAATAGGGTGGGCTTGAAAGGGCCCATGGCCACACCAATCGGGAAAGGCCATCGTTCTTTGAATCTTACACTGAGGAAAGAACTTAATCTGTATGCCAATGTCAGGCCTTGCCATAGTCTCCCAGGCTATAAAACGCGGTACGATAATGTTAACCTTATCACTATTCGTGAAAACACGGAAGGGGAATATAGTGGACTTGAACATCAAGTAAGTTTATTTTAATACATGTATGTGTTCATTGTCAAACATGTGTATATGTATTCAGAGGAGCAAATGTTTTTCTGGTGCTAGGTGGTCAGAGGTGTAGTTGAAAGCCTTAAAATCATTACTCGTCAGGCAAGTTTGAGGGTGGCTGAATATGCATTTCACTATGCTAAGACTCATGGCAGAGATAGAGTATCTGCAATTCACAAAGCAAACATTATGCAGAAAACTGATGGTCTTTTTCTCAAGGTATACCAGTTAAAAGTGCTTAAATTACACATTCTTTTCATAAGCATTCATGTATGAATTTGGTTTGCAATTTTTCAGTGTTGTCGAGAGGTTGCAGAGAAGTATCCAGAGATAAAATATGAGGAGGTTGTCATAGACAACTGCTGTATGATGGTATGGCAAGTTACTTCTCGTACATGGTTCCTAAATTCGCTGTGTTTATAGGTGATAACGCTCAGCCAGTCTTCCTTAATTATGGCAAGGGCTTGAGTTGTAGGAGGAGATTTAGCTATGCAGTTTAGATGCACGTACACATTCTCCTTCTTGCAATATTGTCACCAATAGGTTCATCCAGAGACATTTCTATAATACTATGAAAAATAAAGGGGTGTTGGGGTGGGGGTTGGGTGGAGAGAAATTCTGTAATACTACACTTGCTTCTTCTTATGATGGCCCAGTGAAGGTTTTGAGCTTACCATTTCTTATGACATGTACAGCTTGTGAAGAATCCAGCACTCTTTGATGTGTTGGTGATGCCTAATCTCTATGGTGATATAATCAGTGACCTTTGTGCTGGGTTGGTTGGAGGATTGGGGTTGACACCAAGGTAACTCCGTACTCTTAGTATCAGAATTAATACAAATCTCAATTACCTAACGGCACATAACTTTCTCTGCAGTTGCAATATTGGTGAGGGAGGAATTGCGCTTGCTGAAGCTGTGCATGGTTCTGCTCCTGATATTGCTGGAAAGGTTAGCCTGTTAAGCTGTTTAACAAGATTCATTTTTGTATTAAGTAATGTTACTAATTACAGCTTTATGTAAAAAAAAAAATGTTATTAATTACAG